AGGCCCGAGCTCTCCTGTCCACCTTTTAGGGAGGTGGGGAGGAAGAGGCAAGGGAAAGAGGAAAACAGGGTTTTCTGGGCTCAGAATGCAGATGTCATCCATAACTCAGTGTGTGTGTCCCAGCAGAGATCGCTAAGGGAAGCAGATGCTGTCTGTGACGTCTGATCAAATTCTGTCTAGTTTGTAAGGGATTTTGATTTCCTAGTTTTGAAGTTGGAGAGAATACATGGGAACTGGGTTGCAGAGTAGAGATAGTGGAAATACTAGAGTAGAGAGAATGAATGGGGTCAAGGGGACATGGACATGGGGTTACAGGGCAAATAAAGTACATCATAGATGGAAGCCCCTGGGGAAGCTGTAGCCTGTGGTAAAGCCCAAAGGCCAACACAGTGCGGAGTTGGACACCTCTTAGTATACTCCTGCCTTAACTCCTCCTCCTACTCTTCCCCTCAGTGAACTCTGGCTGCAAACAGCCTGTGCAGTTTTCCATTTTAAATATGTACACAGGCTCCCTAGCTTTGAGGAGAGAAGTAAGGAGATTAACCATTTATGGAAACCTAACTCTGTGCCACTCTCCATTGCATATATTTTCTTCCTTAAACATACCTACCTCACTGACCTGTGGGTCCTGTTGTCCTGGACCTACTCTGGGTAATATGGCCTGGGTATTATTGTCTCAGATTACAAGTGTGGAAGGGTGAAGAGTTAGTGTTGAATACTTTCTCCTATCCCACTACCACCATCCCTCACCCCACCCTACCCCTGAATTTCTCTTGTCTCTTCACCCTAAGATATATATAACCTTACGATATTTCTGAGACTCTTGGGCCAGAGATACTCTTAATAAGAAGCCCCATACTAGGCAGGTGCAAATATGCCATACCTCCAGTGAGTTCCATGATCAGCTTACTGGATTTCCTCTTTTTGTTGGGGGCTGGCGTTCCTGAGAGCGGCATTGTGGAGGTAGGATTCAGCCTGGATAGGGTGGGAAAAGGGAGTTGAAAGATGAACAGGGATTGGGAAGGGTGTGCCTACAGTAAGGGCTTCAGGGAGCAAAATTTCATTATTAGATTTTCAACAAAATAAATTCCCTCAAGTGGTGAAAGCTTTAGGGCTTCTCTTCTCTTGAGAGGCAGGGCAGAAACTATAGATGTAGCCCTGCCCCTACCTTCTCCCAACCTCTTTGCAGCTGTTTTACAAAGTGCCAGTGCATGCGTTAGATGCACAGTGTATGTTGGGAGGCAGGGGCTAAAACAAACAAGTAACACGAAGGCAGTAACACCCAGGTTTCATTAGCATGATTTGAAGTTTTTATTTGCATGGGGATCTCAGATCGGGGCTGTCATACCAAGCTCTGATGTCTCCTCAGTCTTCCCCAACCCCCAGGGGGTCAGAAAAAAATGTTCTGCCAGGGTTGAGATCCAGCCAAAAACATTCTCCATAGGAAGGAGAGGTTGTTGCTCCTCCATTGGGCCAGCTGGAATATGGCCTGGGAGGTCACAGCAGTGCTCCCTGCTCCATTTCAGTCACTCCTATCCCAGACCCCAGAATTGGAGAGGGGTGGGGGGCGGGTCAGGGGACATTTGAACCTTGATGCATGTCAACTCAGCAATATCGTAGCAGTGGGAATTTGAAGGAGGACAGGGACATAATAATAGTCTCTGGCAGTGAAGGGGGACAAGCTGGAAAAGATACAGACTTCAGCTCCTCCTTGAGAGACGTTGGCAACCAGCAAAAATGTTGTTTTCTGTTGAGTCCTGTCCCACAACACATCTGCAGTTCTGCTAACGTAGTGGGGTCTGCTGAGGTCAGAGCCCAGGAACTGCTAAATGGACTCTCCCTGTATCTCTCAGCCTCGAGGTTCTGATTTTCCTCTTAGACCCCCCTTCTTATTTCTCCAGTGCCTCCCCCAGATCTCTATTCCCCACACCCTTCAGGGACCCTCTCCTTCCAACTCTCTGTGGCTCCCCTGAACTGGACAGCTGGGAGCTGAGCACAGACGGGGGAGAGGGAACCACCCCAGGATCAAGGGCCGCTTCTGCGTTCACAGACACAACAGTCAGCAGAATGGGCTCCAGCCCCTCTGGTTATAGAGTTGGAGACTTACCAGTTGCTTGGGCGGTGGTCAGCTCTCCCTGGGGTCCAGCAGCTTTGGAGGACTGAGCTGCTGTGACTGGAGAACCTGAGCTGGGCAGGCGTGGGGGAAGCACTGGCAGTGGGGGAGGGAGGGTGGTTATTAATAGAGATGGTGAGCATAAGCAGCTCAAATGGCACAAGGGGTACTGAGACCCTGGAACCAAGATCCCGCCCTCCTCGTCCAGAGGCTCAGGAATGACACAAAGGCCTTTGGGATTCTCCCACTAAGTTATCTGAGCCAGTCTGCCCAGGAATTCCCTTTGGCTTAACCTCTAGAGCAGCGGTTCTCAACCTGTGGGTCGCGACCCCTTTGGGGGTCGAACGACCCTTTCACAGGGGTCGCCTAAGACCATCGGAAAACACATATATAATTACATATTGGTTTTGTGATTAATCACTATGCTTTAATTATGTTCAATTTGTAACAATGAAATTGGGGGTCACCACAACATAAGGAACTGTATTAAAGGGTCCCGGCATTAGGAAGGTTGAGAACCACTGCTCTAGAGTCTGAGAAGCATTCAGGGAGAAAGTGAAAACTGAGAAGGGGAGAGGAGGTAGGCAGCAAATGGTAGATAGGAATTCAGAGTGGAAAAACAAGAACCTGGAGAGCCACTCAGAGCCGATCTACATCACAGCTGGAAGGACATGTGGGTGCATTTTGGGGTGGGAAAGCTTAAGGCACTGTGTTTGGGGAAGGGATGTCTGTTCACAATGGAACTACTCTTTGAAAGTTCCTGGATGGTTTGACCTTTCCTCTGGGAGGGCCAGATCTTAGCAGATTAAGGGGCCAAATTCACCAAACCCAGTGCTTTCTAGGCTGTAAGGGAAGATGTGGGGAAGACCTGACCAATTTCTGCCTTTTCACCCCTATTTTCTATTGGGGTGCTCAGTTCAGCCTACTCTGCAGGATAGATGTTGATGTCTCTCTGAGAAGTGTATGAAGGCTTCTGACCTACCAAGGCCTTACTCTCTAAGGTTCCTACTTAGACTTTTCTTTAAAGGAACACATACCCCATTTGCATTGTTCCAGAGAAACCTCTGGGCAGGGGCACTAGCTGGAGAGCCCCCTTGTGAGAAGCCTGTCATGTGCCCAGCCCTTTCCCTAGTAGCTCCATGAACATCTGGATCCTCCTCTACCTTCTGCTTAGGTTCTGGAACCACCCTGTGTGGCTGCTTTAAGAAATGGGTTTCATAGCTCCCAGAATACCCCCCTGTCCCTCTGTGAGCTCTCCACTCTTCCTGACCATGCCCTTTTCCCATCCTAAACTTTCCAGGTTCGGGCTAGGAGCTGAAAGGGCTTTGAGCTTTCTGTAGTTGGCCTCTTCCTAGATCAGTTTAGCTTCTAGATCCCTCATCTTTTGTCTTCCTTCTCCATTTGCTCCCAACCCAAAGAAGCAATTAGAAGAAAAAAACCAAATAGCAAATGGTGATTTCATCATCACTACCATCCTCCCCTCAATAACAAACCAAAATTTTGGTCTCCTGTCATTGAGTGCCTAAATTAACTACCAGGTGATAAAGATAGAATATTTAGCCTATGCTCTCTGGGCCCTTCCTTTGGAATTCTGAGACTGTACTTAGGAGTGTCTGGGTCCTCGACCTGGTTATTGGTGCAAATATGCCCCCTGCTGGTAAAATCGGAGCAATGGCACTTTTCTTCTCCAAAGTCTTTCATTCTAGTTTGCCTCTTGTGCCTTCTTTTCTTTATTAGTCTCAATCCACACTATCAGCCCACCCTCTATTGTTCTTCCCTCTCCCATCCCACCTTCACCTACAGCAGTGGTTCTCAACCTGTGGGTCGCGACCCCTTTGGGGGTCGAACGACCCTTTCACAGGGGTCACCTAAGACCATCGGAATACACCTATATAATTACATATTGTTTTTGTAATTAATCACTATACTTTAATTATGTTCAATTTGTAACAATGAAATTGGGGGTCACCACAACATGAGGAACTGTATTAAAGGGCCGCGGCATTAGGAAGGTTGAGAACCACTGACCTACAGCCATTTTGTTTTCCCATGGAAATATGGTGGCTTCCTCCAGGGAGCTAGGAAATGTTGATGGCAAAAGGCCTTCCCAACTTCTCTTAGTTCTGTAAACTGAGGCCTAGCTTGGGAAGTATGGAGCAAGAGATTGAAAGAGGGATAGTCTGTATGGGAAATGTGGGGAGAGGGAACCAAGGGGCGTGGTAGAAGTGACTAAATAGAAATGGGACAGAATTGGTAGAGAAGATCCAGAGACCGGGGGGAAAAGGGCAAAAGGATGAAACATAGGAGGGCAGCAATGGAGAAAGAGACCAGGAATCGGGAGGTCAGGATCATTGAATGAGTTAAGATCAAGGGGAAATCAGGATTTGGGTATAAACCTAGAAGAGATGACAGCAACAGAAGGTGTGGGGTATAAGTTTATTCTTGTGCACAAACAAAAGTACTGTGACTCACACCCAATATGCAAAAGAAATGATCAATTTCCAGATCAAGCAGCAAACGTGACCCTTGGTAGTCATGGTGAAAGGGAAGTCTCCACTCCTCTAGGATCAGAGATCAGGACCTGGAGCTGGAAAGGAACAAGAGCTAGGGTCTGAGGGGTAGGGTAGGACTGAAAAGAGGGTTGGCTCTAGGTGTTTCCTCGCCCTTTCCCAGGTAGTCAGGACAAGCTGCAGAAGACAGAGGGACAGCCCTAACCAGTTTGGCTCAGTGGAGAGAGCGCCGGCCTGCGAACTGAAGGGTCCCAGATTCGATTCCTGTCAAGGTCATGTATCTCGGTTGCGGGCACATCCCCTGTAGGGGGTGTGCAGAAGGCAGCTGATCAATGTTTCTCTCTCATTGATATTTCTAATTCTCTATCCCTCTCCCTTCCTCTCTGTAAAAAATCAATAAAAAATATACTTTTAAATTTTAAAAAAGAGAAGACAGAGGGACAGACTCAAAGGAGGTAGCACAGATACCAACTGTTTTTTCAACACTCAGTATATACTCTGACATCCCCCCACCATCATCCACTTCACTCTAACAAATGCATTCTTCTCCATCACAATTCCCCCCAAATCCTCCTCTTGCCCACAGTTGGTTTCTTGTTACCTAACTTTACTCTCTGCCAACACTGCATTCTCACTGTCTCACCATGCTCCTCTTTGTGGCTCAATTGATTTCATTAATTTCTGCTCTGCTCCTGGTTCTGCCTCATTTTCCACACCATGGCTCTCTTCTTTCTGTCTGTCCGAGGCTTAGAGGACGTGAAGCCAATGATTTGTTCATTCTCAGAGGAAATTTTTCTTTTTGTTCACTTCCTGGGTGCTTGTTGCCCAGCATGGGCCTGTCAAGTTGCTAACTGTCTGAAATCCTGAGGAATAGAATTTTTAGTTCGATTCCTGATCTAACTGGTATAATGCAGCCCATACAAACTGCCTTGGTCCTTCACGTCTCCCCATACTCCATACGTTTCACAAGATGCTGTATACCAGTTACAGATGCTAGTCTTCAACTGTAGTGAGCCTCTTTCTCCCCTAGATTATCCATGTGGGGTCATCTCACCCTTCTTTCATCAGTGCAAGGGTGAGACCCACATTAGGTCTTTATTTAGATCTGTCCTCTTACTCTTGCCTCAGACAGAAGAGCACATCTGTACACTTGCGTATGCGTACACACATACATACGCATACGTACATGCCGAGGTATATGCCAGCCAAGTTTGGAAAAGATGAGCAGTAGAGAATAACTTAGAGCAAACAAGGATCAATTCCGTTTCATTGCTGCCTGCCTGGTGGTGAGATTCTTGTTGAGTGCTCAGTGGTAGCTTCTCTGTATACTTCTCATTGAATGTTATGAAGTTCACAGAGAAAAGAACAAAGTAGAGAAATACAGACCAGTGAGGGAACATGGGTGGAGAGACCTAGAGATAAAGACAAAGATCCAGGCAAGAAACTACAGAGACAAAGAGAAGCACAGATACCAAAGCAGAAGTATTAGGTTGGAAAGCAGCAGGGAGGTTGGGAGCCAGGAGGAACAGGGATGGGACACCAACTCCAAAACTACCTCTGGCAGGAGGGAACTTAACCTCCAAATGCCCGAGAGAGGGGGTGGATTGGGTAGGAGAAGCAACTTTAGGCACTGGAGAAGCAACTAGTTCTCCTTGGTCCTGGGAGCTGTGCCCTGCTCAGTGGTGGCCTGCACCAGGCCTCCACACCTGAGCCTGCAATCCCGTTTTGGTGGCGGAAAACCGGGGCCTGGCTACCTGGAAGCCACAGGAGCTGGGTGAGGTCCCAAGACCCCTGGGAGACTCTGGAGGAGGGGCTGGGCTGAGGACAGGGACTGAGGCCAGCTCTGCCCTCCAGATGGGCTCGTCCAATGTAGTGGCTGCTCTGGGGGCAAGCACAGTGGGGGCCAGGGGTTCTGCAGTGGGTTGGGGTACTGGAGTGGAAAATCGGCGGATTTCCTGGATTCGGGCCGTTTTGGGGGGCCCTGAGGAGGTGGGACCAGGAGTCTGGGGAGCCTCATCAAAACAGAACATGGCAGTTTTCAGTTGGTAGGGCTGGTGCCGCATGAAATCCAGAGCCTTGATGCCTTGCTTGGGGGTTGCCCGCGGCCCCTGGGATTGGGCCTTATTAGGGAGCGTTCGGGCAGCCTGGGGGAAATAGGGTGAGAGCAGTGGGTTGTAAGCAATAGGAGGCGGGGCTCGGATATTGGGTGAGTATTTCCAGGAAGGGGGCAGCGAGGGAGTAGGAGAAGGGCTTCGGGGCCGAGGGCCGAGGCCAGGACTAGGTGCGGCCTCTACCACGAACCTGTCCGCTCGGCTTTGCCGCTTGGCAAACAGCTCCCCACCCCGGCCCTGAAGCCTGGGTGGCTCAGGGGTTCCAGCAGAAGGGGCCGCCCCATTTACTAGCCCTTCGGGGAACCCTCGAGATGAGGGCTTGGGAGCCACTGGGGGTGGAGTCTTAGGAGCCATAGGGGGCGGGGTCTTAGGAGCCATGGGGGGCGGGGTTTTGGGTGTCACGTGAGGCAGGGTCTTGTAACTCCTGCCCCCTGGTGGCTGCATGAAGTTGCAGGCTTCAGCCCCCAGGCTCAGCGCATCCTCCTCCGGGCCAGACTCCGCACCCCCGGCCCGGGGTTTCTCATCCAGGTTCTGCACCAGCGACAGCAGCTCGGGGTTGGGAGAGTTCTTCGTCTCCTCGTTCCCCTGCCGGAACATCTGCTTCCGAGTCCCCCGACGCCGGGCCTCCTGCAGGATGCCCGTGCGAGCG